CCTTGGGTGCAACAGTCGAGTCCAATCTATTCACAGGGGCCTTTTTGGTGCGTAATTTGGCCCTAATGGCAGTTTCCTCTGAGGGGATGGATATGAGGGATAAAAGACCTTCTGTAACACGAAGAATAATCCATGTGTGGTGAATTCTGTCACAGCTATGACCAGGTCATCCTAAACACTGCATACGCCATCCATCAGCAGCTGGTGAAGGCAGCTGCTCTATTTTGAAGTAAGTTGGGGGTCATCTGTTGTTCAGATTTAGGTGAAAAATCTTTGTGTCCAAAGCCATAAAGCCTCTTCTAACTGCTGATTAAAAACAGCGAGATTCTGGCCCCGGTTAAGATGGAAAAATATTGGTAATTGCTTTGTGAGGTCAAAGGAACTTTAATAGGACTATTAGGAGTTATTACCGACAGCTTGTCTTTGTATGTCAATGCCATTGTGCAATGCAGCGGTACTGTGAAGTCCTGTTTGGTCCTGCCTGTTACAGTGTTTAGTCGAACTGCATTAACTGGAGGTAATGAGGGTACAATTATGGCTCCTTAACCTTTTGTGAAGGAGAGGAAAAGCCTCTGCTGCTTTTTTTCTCTGCTCACTGAAAACAGATTCTTTTCACATGTTGCTATCGTTTGTTACCTTTGGCTGGTTTAATGTTTCCATAAGGGGCGTATGTCACCTTGCACAATTAATGTTTCATATTTTTAGCTGGCCAAATCAGGAGGGAGGGCAGTCTTTGTAAATATTTCAACAGCCATTTTGCTAAATGCTCTAGTCAAATTGCTTGTTTCCTTTATTTTTCATACAGAGAACACACCACATTGTTCATTCTGAGACATTTCTATATCCTGTTGGCCTCCATTGTTCTGCTGGGCACAGACGGCCCATTGTAAGGGAACGGGTGACATCGTCTGACAGCGAGGCCTGTTCCACACATGAAGCTGTCACACAGATGTGGACCTCAGCCTTAAAGGAGGGGCGGTGGCCAGAAACACACCACTCGCTGCGACCTTTGAACCTGTCCTTGTTAAGCCCTTGATGCCAAAGATGGGCTCAGGAGGTAGTCCCCACCCCTTCCCCCCCTTTCACCATGTTACATGTTGTACTTGCCCATAGCTAATGGCATGACACACACACACACACACACACACACACACACACACACACACACACACACACACACACACACACACACTTACAGTAGGCGTCTTTTAGGACAGTGGTTGTTGGAGGATGACAGCTCCTCAACACACACCCTTTGCCCCAACCCTCCAGTGGTGTGCTTCACTTTATGTGTGTGTGTGTGTGTGTGTGTGTGTGTGTGTGTGTGTGTGTGTGTGTGTGCATGTGAGTGAGTGTTCAGCGTTTTCCCCTCCTGAGCAGACAGCTGCTACCTCCCTCCCATCCTCCTACTTTCTTCTCTCTCCTTGGTCCTCTTACCGTTCTAACCTGTCTGTCCATTTGAAGGTAACAAGACTCTGCACTTTGCAGCTCTCACTCTCCCTGTCTTTCTCTCTGTCTCTCACCCTGTTTTTCTTATATGAGTCTCAATAATGTAATGCTGCAGCTGTCCGATGGCCAAGCCTCTAACCCCCGCTTTTGCTTCCCTTCATTGTTAAAGAGGCTGGTGGATTTTTGGCCACAGATCAGGGCTCCGAGCCCTTCTTGCTGCATGGGTGGAAGGGAGAGAGACGGGAGGATGGAGGGAAGCGCAGAGAGAAAAAGAGAGAGAGCTCGGAATGAGTGCCATGGAGAGTTGAAAAGCCTTGTTGCTTCCCCACTCCACTGGTTACCAAGGGATCAACGGGGTGCTAAAAGCACTCAGGGGAGGAAGAAATGGAGGGTTTTTAGTGAGGGAGAAAGGAGAGATTCAGAATGATGGAGAGACAAAGAAAAAAAGAAGAGAGGGAGAGTGGAGGGGCTGGGAAAATGGATGTATATTTAGCCTGTGTCTCTCCTCTGCTGTCACTCAGTGTTCGGCTTTGCTACTGACACAAGGACAGACAGTAAGTGGGCTGGCAGTGAATATAAAGGGAGAAGGGTTCCTCTTCTGCCCCTGGTCACAAGGAGACACTGACCCTTGCAATACTGACTCAACACTGGGAGAGGTCTGCAGCCATCCTTAAGGACTTCACTGCATGAAATGTCAATCTTATTTATCATGTTCAGTCTTAGAAGTGTGTTTGTCTCGTTAAAGCACAGAGTCTCAGATAATGAAGAGGCGGTGGCTTTGCTGGTGGGATATCACAGAGTTTGACTCTAATGAACCACAGTGGCCACTTAAGCACTGCCTCATGAATCCTGTGTCAAGCGTCAATCATGTATTTCTGTTTACGGTGGAAATTGACTGGTAGTTGAAGCGTGTTGTGCATTCAAATATGAGAATGAAAACATGGCTGCGAGAAAGGCTCTTATATCAAAACACTAGCACTAACAAGACCAGTAGTGTAAGACAGGTCTGTTATTTCTTTCAGCGACAGTGCATTTTAAATGTACTAAACATTAGCACAGTTTTCAGAAAAAAACATTAGAAATCCTGCCAAAACAGTGAAATGATTCCACTTTATCATCTGAAGTATTCAACTGTTCCACAGATGTCCTTGGAAGGAAGGTCAATATCTCAAGCCGGAGGGTGTAAGGCAGATCACTGCACTTAAGAAAACATTTAAAAAGTTCTTAAAACAAGTGAAAATCTTGCCTTCTTTGCAAATTTGTCCGCCTTTAACATTTTACAACAACAATTTAATGAGGCTGATTTTAGGACATTATTCTTCTGTTACTCTCATTCACAACTCCTTTTCTCTCTTCTCTTCTCCATTGCCTACCGACTCTGGTTTGCTCACTTTCATGAACCCACCAGGTTTTTCTTTTCTTTAGTGTCATTTTCACAGTTCCTCTCAGTTTTTCACACCATTTGTCTGCAGCACACCTGAATAGAAGTATCACCTTCCTCTGGTGCTGCTTTGATATCTACTTGTGCCATCTTATGGTAATTTTACCTGTCACATTCACACACTCAACCTGCTTACACTGTGCTTTTGGCCTGGTACAAGTGAAGGATCCCTTCCCGTTGGTGCTCTGACGGCAAAACTCACAGTTAACGTGTCTTTCCTTACCCTTTACTTGTTCTTTTATTCCATCATATCATTTCTCTCTAGTATTTTTTACATTTAAGCAGGAAGATGATAAGAGGGAAATAGAGCTGCAGTCATGCCACAATCACTTGCCACCTACAGGAGCAAACTAACAGACAGGAGATTGTTGCTGAGAGCTACTGTTACTGAAGTTAATTACATGTCACTTTCTGTGATGATACACTGTGAATCAGCTCGCCTCTCAGATCACTCTGGTGTCTAATGAGACAAAGGCACTGAGCAGCATCGCTGAGAATGAAAATGGCCTTTTTAAAGTCAACATGTTCCTATGGCTTTCATACCTCCTTTTCTGCCAATCTCATTTTATATCTTATACTTATATGGTCTTATATCTAGTCTTCTTGTCCAACTTCACCAGCACTCTCCACTCTGTCTTTATTTATAGATTCCCACAGGTGGCCAGATACATTGTGCACAGTATATATATATATATATATATATATATATGTATTAAAAAAAATACAGCCAACCCAACTGGGAGGTTTCCATGAAAAGCTTTGTGAATAACGGGCCCCGTGAGGCACCTCAGACCTCAGCTGATACATAATTACAGGTGGAGGTGACTGGTTGACTGACTCATTTTCATATTGGACGGTTTGAAAGGGGAAACAGACAGGTAGGGTGAGTCGAGGTCTCTTAAGGTAGACTCCTGATGAAATTTTCATGCCCCTATCCCACCTTACCCCCCACCCCCTCCCCCGACTCTAAAGAAAATAAATAGGGGACAGAGTCTCTCTGCGCCACGCCTGTGTGTCACCAAAGATATCCTGGCCTCTGAAAGGGGTTGAATCCATTACCATAAAGAAACCAGCAAGGCACGAAACCTATTTGGATGTGCTTGACATTTTAGTGAAAGAGAGAGAAAGAGCAAGGTGAGGGGTGAGGGCGGGGAAATAGCAGCGGCTAACAAAGCATTTCAGCAGACCCTCCCAAGGAGACGATGCGCTGTCTGGGTGCTGACAAGCTCACACATACACACAGAAAAACACATTCATGAGGATCCGCAGTTGCCATCAGGACTGGGAGCAAAAACTGAAATTACGGTCTCCCTTTAAATTGATCAAATGTTAACGTTCAGTGTGCTTGTCACTTGTTGATGAACCTCCCCAGCTCCTCCTGTAACTAACCTTCAACAGATGATGATTAGTTGAACTTGAACCCGGCGTTATTAAATATGTCTCCCTCCTATTCTACATGCAGCATGTCATCACTGCATGTAAGTGCCCTGCTCAATCTGTACCATCTCCATAAAGAGAGCTCAGATAAAGATTTTATTCCCCATTAAGGAGAGCATGAAGCTGCTCTGTCTCATCCCAGAGCCTGGTTAAGCCCTCAGACGTCTGGCTTGCCTGTAAAAGCCACCGCCTCCCAGCCCTGCTGCCTAATGGCCCTGAAGGAAGATGAGTAAATGAAATGAAGAGAGTGAGAGAAACAAATGACAGCGGGCGCAACCACTTTCCTTCACTCCAGACCTGATCGGATCACCGCAAAAATCCGGCAGCGGTGCCACGCCCTAGGCCGGACCCGATTGATTGAGAAGGAGCAATCGATCAGGGCCACTTTGTCACTAGAGTCGCTGAAGACTTTGGCTTTGGATGTTTCTGCAGCAGCATCAGTGCCCCAGTCTGTACTCCACTGAAAGTCTCTTTTGATTTAGAATAGAGGCCGTTACTTGTTCCTGCAGGTAATTGGATTAAAAGCCAGAGGAGAGATATAGGCAGGAGAGGAGCAGATGCAAGCACAGCCAAATAGAAATAATGACAGAGAGAGGGTGAGTTTTTTACTTTGCCGGAACAGTCTTTTAATGATTTATTCTGTCTTTTTTTCTTTTTCTTTCTTTCTTTTTAGGAGGAGAAGGAGGAAGAAGAGCAAAGGAGACAAGAAAGGAGGATTGAACGGATAGAGCCAGTAGGGAGAGCTGATTCCTCATTGGAACATTCACCCGTGTTAAACCTAGAGTGAGTGAACCCCTGCAGCCCCCCCAACCACCTATTTATACACCATACAGTGTGTCTTAAAAGGTTGGTTCACCCAAATACCAAAAAAATACTTTTATTTTCTGTATTTTGTTATAATTTGGGTGAACTGACCTTTTAATTTATCACAGTGATACCAGAAAGGTTAATAATTGCCAGAACATCATCACTAAACGCAACCTTATTACCACATGACAATGACAACACAAAGTGTACATCAAGACCACGCCTTCTTCCATCAACATCATCACACACATCTGCGTTAGCGACTGCGTGTGTTCATTTGTCTTCACGTCTTTATCCACACAAATTAACCTTCTCCTCCTCCTCCTCCTCCTGTCTGCGCACGTTTTTCAATTAATCTGTTCTCTTTTAGCACAACAATCTGATCTTAATCACTTAATTGGAGTCTCCATTTGGGTCCCGAATCGACCTCGAGGTCCTCCAGCCTGACTTTGTAATGGATGACTTTGTATAGACAACACAATGCAGCCTCCACCAACAAGGCCGCACCAACCCCCATTCCATACACCCCATCAACATCTTGTCATGTTTGACTATGTTGTCTTTTATATCCTGCTTTTCTACATTTTTTTGTCATTCCTATTATTTGTTATTCATGCATGTCTCCCCCCCTGCCTCCTCCTTCTCCCCGTCCTCTCTGCCTCATCCATCATCGTCCCGCAGAGGCATGCTCAAGCCGGTGGAGGTGTCCAATGAAGGAGGGCCCCTGGGTATCCATGTAGTGCCTTTCAGTGCGCAGGACATCAGGTAAAAAAAAAAAACATAGCTACAACAATACAACAATAGCTAGTTAGTTTCACCATTCAATATGTCTCCTGCATCCTTTGGTTTGAAGCCCTGTGGATGTTGCTTTCTTTTTACTTTTACTCATCATTTCACTCATATTTTTTTCTCAACTCTCTCTGTTCTCTCTTATTCATCTCTTTTTACATGTTCCTCTAGGCTGTCTTTTTCTCTGACTCGGATTCTCCTGACCATCTTTTATTTTTTTTATTTTTGTGAGTCTCACTGCTGAAACACCACACCCATACCAAGCACTGCTCCTATCCCACTGCTCAAAAGCCCCCAGTGGGAAGGAGAGCAGATGAAAGTAGTTTTGCTCTTGACTGCACAGCTTTGTCCAAGTCGTGTTATCCTTTTCTTTTATTCTAACCTATGTCCTCAGTCGCAATGGCGTCCCCCCTCCTTGAAGGTGATTCAGACTGCTTCTTTTTGCCTTTTTTTTGTAATCGATGAAGAGTGTCGATGACAGAGGACAAGAGGAGGAATGTATCCCAGTTTATAGTTATTCCAGAAAAAATAAAGGACAGAGGAAGTGGCCAGATGTAATCAAACTAAAAGCTTGTGTATAACAGAGATCCCTGCTGCACGCCAAGGGACTGGCACACCACCAAGGTGAATGTGACTACTCAGCGTTGGGAGAGGGAGGCAGTGGAGTGAGGTGAAAAGACAGAGTGAGGAGATGAAACGGGATGACATTTGAGGGAGAGAGGATGGGTGTCATTGAAGATTGCTGTGTGTCATTTCTTTGGGACACTAATCCCATTGCTGTTTATAAGCAAGTGTCAGGAAACTATATTTAGCTTTGACCTCGTGTGATTGACTCCCTCAGAAGCTGTGAGTTATCCTGAGTCAGAGAAGGAATATAATGATTCACGATGAGTCGCACCAGGCAATATTGCTCAAATAAAGTTTAAATCCAACAGTTCATTAGACATGCTTTTATCCTTCAGTTCCTCTGTATTCCTACTAAATCAGACTGCATCTTGCAAGATATAGCAGTAATGCTGCATGGCCAGTAAATTTCTTCTCCATCAGCTAAGGTCGGCACTAATAGCTATCAGAGCCTTCAATTAACTTCAGACATGATAAGACTTAGCGTCTGGTCAGTGGGATGATGCTAATGGCCCGGCCCAGCTCTTTCCTGTGTGCTAGGACAGGAGGCATTAGGCTCAGTGGGCTGTCATTAGAGTCTAGACCAGGGCCACAGGGGTCAGGCAGGCAGCAAAACCAGACAGCAAACAAGGAACTGCAGGCACTCCAGCGTCGGCTGCCCGCATTCTGCTTCTCTGTACTGACATCAAGTTAGATCCAAGCAGGAGGGGAAGACAGCTGCAGGAGAGAGCTTAGAGACTCTGAAAGACTGGAGACTCAGAGTTTCAGTAGACATTCTCTCTCTCTCTCTCTCTCTCTCTCTCTCTCTCTCTCTCTCTCTCTCTCTCACACACAAACACACACACACACACACACACACACACACACAGATAGTTACCTGAAAATGAACAGTAAGGACTCACCTTGAGTGACTCTTGCTGTCTCTTTCTTTCTCTTACACAAATGCAAACAGTTTGTGAGGGCTGCTGATCTACCACACATAAATATACTTAACATTTGCACACAGAGACACACACACACAAACACGCCCCTCGCAGATGCATTCTTTGTTTAATGAACTTCTCATTCCATGACCAGTTTCAATTGTAAACAAACTGCGGACATAATTGCCGTGCATAAACGGATCCTGATTGGATTATTATTTGATTAAAGGCAGTAGATGAGAGCAGGTGGCCTCGTTCAAATCATTTCTCAGCACTGCTGCCCAGCCACAAGATGGAGTAAAGCCATAGTATGATGCTGAGTCTTGTGTGGGACTTAGCAAGCCTGATATTTTTTCTCCAGTCTGCAGAGAATCTTCAAACTACAAATTCCTTGTGCTTATATTTGGCAGCTAATGAATTCACTGACTTACAGCTTGTGAGAATGCCATTTAAATGTTGCTTTAGCTCTCCTGCTTTCCCCAAGTAACTGATTAGTATCTAAAGAAAACCCTATCAGCGACACAGGGAGGAACTGAGAGGGTGGCGGTGCATTACAGTCATCACAATAATAGAGCTTTTATGAAATCATCATCTTCTTCAAATCTCTAAAAGATGCCGCTTTATCCCCTATCCTTCCTGCTGCTCCTCTGAATACTGATCAGGGATCAACCAAAACTCCTTTATCTACTGTCTCTTGTCTGCTACCAGATCCGAAGTCATTAGAGTGTGTCCATGCTGTAATCTCCATGCACAATACTTTGTTTTCAAGCTGCCAACACTTATGGAGATAAAGCACAATCATGTCCACTTCCACACTGCCCGCAATTACTCTATGTTCAACACACTTAAGCTGACCTGGCAGCGCCGGCTCAGACACAGAGAAAGAGGGACGGGCCTTTTGTGATCTTTAATTTCAACTTAATGCCGAACCATTTACCCCCATTGAGAAGCTGAAATGAGTCTGCGGTGTGAGCGTGGATGTCCACATTATGCAGCCAATTAGGGCAATGTCCTGAAAGTGGCCCTGTTTGGTTGAAATGCTAAAGAGCTGTGCAAATCTGCCCTGGACGTCTGAGGTAAACAGGGTCACAATTTAAATGTGCTGTTGTTTATGTGTCCAGTGAAATGATAGGAAGTAACTGAAAATTATGAGAAGCACGCAGCTTATGTCCTTGCCACTGATAAGCTGTTGATCTTGATCGCAGTATAATTTACTGTATCTTGTAAATCTAAGTTTGGCTTCTGAATAGTTTTGGCTCTGATATATTTCATCATTATTTTTAATTTCCCAAAAGTAAGCCTCCAAACTTTTTGTCAGTTTATGCAAGGACACCAAACGTTTGCACTCAGTCATTCTACCTGCTACCTCAGGCATCTGGCGCCTTAGAGACGGATGGAGTTTGTAGCTCTGCTGTGCTAGCGCACATCAAATCTCTTTGCATGTCGTTATCCTCAGGGCCTAACTAAAGCCCCAAAGGAGCTCACTGATGTATTTATTTAGGGGGGTATTTGAAGGTAAAGGTTGCCTTTTTTGAGAAGTGCTGAGATGGCACTGCCGTGGAACTGCCTGGGTATTTATTACAGCACTGCCAGCTCTCGTCTTAAGCTTCAGTGAAGGCAACTGCAGCGTTTCCTCTGAAGCCATAAGATGATCTCTTAGCTGTTGGTCTGGATTACCTCAAACAACCCGCCCTGTCATTCTCTCAAACCTGCCCAAGAAAGGCAGACAGAGTGGAGGACAGAGACATGGACAGAGGCTTAAAATCTAGTTAGTAATGCGGTGCTTCTCCAGGCCGCAGGTCTTTATCCAAGCTTAAAGTTTGGAAAGTTAACTTTTGGTGACAGTACAAAAATACAGTACATTACTATAGGGCTAAAGTGATTTTGTAAACTCAATTACTTTCCCCAACTTTGAAAGTAATACAATCTGAATGGTTAAGCTTCATGATCTTTTACACTTGCTCACTGATAAAAAATACATATAAATGGTCAAAAGCTTGCAGCACTTTGTTGGCTGATGAGTTATAAATCACTAGGCCATAGAACAACTGATTTCAACTCTGGATATTTACTTTCTCATACTCTCTTTCTCATTTACTTCATTCTTTGGATAATGCTAACCACCTAACTTATCTTTAATATTCACATCTTTTTCCTCCTCCATGCCTTCTTTTCTAGACTTGCAATTTGTTGCCTGTTTTTCATGTTCATGTATGATATGTGACTGTGTGTTGTGTAATTGCTGCAGGATGTGTCTAAATTATGTTTTATTTCTAAGCTGCTGTGTGATCATTTCCAGGACTCAGGGCCTGCTAGTGAAGCGTCTGGAGCGTGGGGGCAAAGCGGAGCAGGAGCGTCTCTTCAAGGAGAACGATTGTATCGTCAAAATTAATCAGGGAGACATTCGCCACCTGCGCTTCGAACAGTAAGCTCTAAAGTTGGCCCCCTATTGATGGTTATATGTATAAAAAAAACATCCTCTTTTCCATATGACAATATAAACTCTAAAGTTCCTACTGTACTCTCAGTAACTTTTCTGATCATTTCAGTATGTCCTCTGAATGCCATGCTGATTTTAATTTCTTTCCCTACGTCCAAAGCGAGGACCTATACTGTGTTATCCTGAAGCACAATCCACTGATACAGTTCATACTGAGAGCACCGTGTTGGACATTAAGTGCAGTGACAGTAAATAGTGTTGTTGTTGATAAGTGGAGCCTAAACTTCAGGGAGACATGACACCCACACAGCTGCACAATAAAACAGAAGTATTAGTCTTTGTTGGCCTTCCTGTAATAGGTCTCAGTGACCTGCAGTCCTTCACCACCGCTTCGCCCTCTGATCCAAAACCGCCTACACTCTCGATTCATTTATATCGATTCATCGCTCGCCTTCATTTCCTAAAGTGGAATGAAGATATAAACCTGGGACTTTTACCCCCTATTTACCCAAAGCCACCCATTTGCTTCAAACACACACAGTTACACTGAGCTATAAAGTATTATCTACACTTCTGTGTGTGTGTGGCTGAGAAATAGATTGCTTCTCCTCCAGGCTGGATTCTGGAGGCAGTGTACAGAGGTCTGCTTGGCTCTCTCCCCTTATCATCCACTCCTCTACAGGAAGAAATAGCCCAGATTCCTGCCAACAAAGGCCCAGCCTACAGTCAGGCCGGGCTGGACATAGACTTCTAAAACCACTGGGCTCAGAGCCACCCTACTGAATGGCAGAAACCATTTCATTTTGGAACCCCTGTGCATTCAGAAGTAGTGTCAGAGACTACCCATTATTTGTTGAACAACTCTATCACTGTCAAATTGTATTTTTTTTTTTTTATCAAGACATGCCACAAATTTTATAACCAACTTTGGCAAAGATAAGCTCTCCATCAGCATGTAAAACTCTAGAATATCACGGTTACCTTACCACATTATGTTAATGTGTTCACCAGACTGTGTACAAAGCCACTAAGGTTTTAGGATTCCTTTTTTTTCCCTTTCAAAATGATGCTGTTGTCATTAGTAAACATCCCAGTTTCCTTCCAAGCCTTTTCTAGTGTGAAAGAGGCTTACAAACCAAATCCACAAGGGAGTGATGTTTTGTAGCGTTCCGCACTTACCCTCCCCTGCCAAACAGACACTCCTCCACCGGCATCCAAATGCATATGATGTTTGTGATTCTGCATGAAAATTAGGTGAAGGAGCTAAACTTTCTTCCCCATCTACCCCCCTTGCTCTCTCATGACTACCTCCCCCACCCTTGATTGTGCGCCGCACAGAGCGACAATTTAAAGTGATAGTCTAATCTCCTTGGATTGTTTTGCATGGGTAAATATTTTGAGGCGCTTAATCTAACTGAATGTAATGATGCATTGATGGGGTGATTTATTATTCAATCAGGCCCGCGTGGAGGCTGATTACTGGAGTGATGGCACTGTATATGTGCAGGTGGAGTGTACACGCACACACTTGCTCACTCAGTCCCCCCCAGTGTGCACATGTGAGTGATTTTTGTAAATTACCATAGAAATAAAGATGGGAGACAACAAATCCTGCAGAAGTGGCTTGGTACGGCACGCGTGCCTCGCCTCTGTGACACAGCTTGAATGAAGTGCTGTCTGTTGTGGTGGAAGCAGGGCAGCGGCTGTCATTTGGATAGAATCAGCACGGTATTACTGGCGTGATAATGGGGGTCTGGAAACAGGAGGTGGGATTGTTGGAATCCAGACATCCACCGTGCCTCTGGCCCCTTATGCTGCAGTGTGGCTTGCTCCTGGCCAGTCTATCTATATGCTAAGTGCCACTGGCAAAAACCAGACTAAACAATTCTTGCGTCTGGGAATGATGTTGAGCTCTTGTCTTGGCTTATTTGGCCCCAAAACTCGCATGAGACTCAGTGTGTGTTTTGGCTTTTTTATTCTTATTTTGTGTGTAAGGAATGAAGTGTGTGTCTGCTTACTTTGGAACCTCATTGTCTGGAAAGCTTCCTTGATGCATGATTCATCATCTCTGTTCTGATTGTGGAGTCAACTCATGTCCATTCATTTCTAACCACACACAGTCATACACAAACACACAGACTACTACTATCCTGTAGTGAGACTTAGATACTCACCATACTATATGGTTCACTGGCATTATATACACAATATATAACGTTCCATCACTGACTCACCATGCTTATCTCTTTCCTGTCTTGATGCTGGTAATTATAGATAATGTAATTTCTGTCCACTGCTGCTATGTGGTGAGCTGCCCGATTAGCAATGCTAGCCTCAACTCTCTCTATTACCTCTCAACATATACATAACCTACGTTATCTTTCTATATCTGTCAAGCTATGATAGTGCAGTATTGTATCGCTTATCATGTTAAAGCTAATTCATTTCTGTCTGCATGACCTCCCCACTCTCTCTCGCACTCTCTCCGTATCACCTCCAGAGCCCAGAACATTTTCAAACAGGCAATGCGTTGCCCGGTCATCCTCTTCCATGTAGTCCCCGCAGCTATGAAGAGGCAGTACGAGCTGCTTGCGGCCCAGAGTGAGCTCAGCCCTCCACAGTCCAACAGAGTCCGCTTTAGCCAAGACTCTCAGCTGCCAGGGGACAGGTCCAGCCTGGTGGGGGGGCTGATGTCCAGGTCTGGACCAGAACCAGGCCTCAACCACAAGTAGGTTTGACCTCAATTGTGTTTCTGTAGAAGAGTCAGCCTGCCTATCCGTATGCAGCAAACATGTTGCTAAAACAACCTGCACAGATGAAAGTGAGACATACAGTAGCATTAAATAAAAGTTGCATTTCTGTCCAATCAGTTGATTGGAAAAATAACAAAAGTTCATGTTTGTGCACATAATTAAGCTATGCAGTCTCAGGCTGCACAGTTTCCAATGAATGCAAGTCTGTTTTAATTACACCAGTCAATGACTTTTCCTTAAAATGTTCACTGTGAATCCATCAAAGTTTAAAAGCTGCACAATAAAAGGCGAGAGCGCAGTTTAATACTAATTTCTACCTGAGATCTCCAAGTCTCAATCGCTGATCATCTTGTTAAAAGCCCATTTTATCTGCCTGGGGTTACTATTCATTTATGTAATGTCTTTGGCCTAATTCAAAAAAGCTAAACATGTGGGTGTTATCAAATAGGCCCTTGTCCACAGGTTTATAGTAATTTCAATGATATATATTCATAAATCCTCTATTCATTCTCTGTCTGTTACATTTAGTCAATTTGTCAATATTGCCTACTGCATAGAGATAACGTTGGAACATTACTGTGCATCTTACTCTACATTGTAATTACAGAGCAGCCTGACAGATGATGCTACATAAGTATATGCTCAACAGCACTTATTAGTAGATCAAAGTAAAGAGGAAAAAAGAGATTACATTGACAAGAGACAGACAGAATGAATGAATCCAGTTATCAGAGCACAATATCAGAACTTTCACAAAAAAACAGCCTTTACCCCACAAGCAATTTGTCAACCAATAATTTATTGACTGGACAAGTGCATTTTTATCAACCAATCGATCCATGGAGCAGGCAGGGTCAGGCCTACATGTCTGTTGTCCTAAGCTGCTACCATCATTATTTCCAATAGTGGCCCAAAAGTTGTTCTAAATATGATGTTTTGCCATAATATGATGATGAAAAAATGTTTTCTTGTTCTGTTTCTTGTTGATTAGTTACTGCGTAATTGAAAAAATACAGAAAATGCCAAAAATACCAAATCAGCATGCTGGAAATGTTACAAATGGTCTCTTTGTGTAGGTAAAAAATCTAATCAAAGCTTGATCGTTGTCTTGCTCTGTAGCCACCAGGGACCCCTGTCAGGAAGCACTCCAGAGCCAAGTCGACGGTACGCCACATTACCCCACAACTTGGTCTCCAGGACCTCGTCAGCCCCCTCCCCCTCCCTGCAGCGCAGGGTAAGCACAAACCCGTCCACCAGCTCCTACCTGAAGAACAAAGGCCGCAGGTTCAATATCCAGCTGAAGAAAGGTAAGAAACAGCACACACAACTGCATGGTTGTTAAAGTGGACATTTTTCAGAATTTTCATCAGAGTTTTCCTGATCTTAAAAACTGCTTTTCCTGGTATTTTGGTGCCTAGTGCAGAGGTCACAATGCACAGATGAGGAGAGGCACATTTCTTCATTGGTTAATTTAAGTGAGGCAGCACAAAGTGAGTACATACATTTAAATTGCCCTCAGAAAGAAAGTCTGATGTGGTTAAAGCAAGAACAGGCTGGCAGATTCTCCACAAACCAGATCCAGCAGTATTTTGCATTTAACTGCACTTACCGTTCAATAGACACAAACTTACAGTTTTACTATTTTGCTCATCAAGCAGCTGATGAGACAACCATAAAATAGTTTGTGCTTTAAGGCAGAGAGCAGATGCAAATCACACCTGTCTCTCTTTCTATTCCTGCATCTATTACCCATTTTCCACTCTGTCACCCCCTTTGCTCCTCATTGAGACAAAGGGTCATATCATCATCTGTATGTGTTTATTTTCTCCAGAGTAAACAATAGGTTAAGGGAAACAACCTTAAATATTAAACAAAATATATTAGAAAATCTCTATTTGCCTTTGGGCTTTGTTCAACTGAGCAGGCCAAAAGCAAACACAGATCAACTGTGTCTTGAAAACAAAGTATGTGGTTGGATGTTCTCAGGTTACATCATCTCTGTCTTGTGGTTAAAATATTAAGATTCAGCAATCAGTCTGCTTCCAGCTGAGGTTGGTTTGTTTGCAGACTCAGACAGGCCTTTGATACTGAAGCAGTTGTATATCTTAGTCAACCATTGTGGTGGCTTTGCTGCCAGACTCCATGTCATTTTCATCACTTCACTATCTTTATATGAATTGACGAGAAGTTGCTTGTGAAATGAACCAGTGCTGAGGTGACTTGCCTCCCCTCTCTCTCTTTTTGCTCCTTTTTTTATGTCGAAGGGAGCAGATGTTTGGTTGAAAGCTGGCAGCGAGGCCGTAGCAGCGAGCTTCAGGGAATAGTGTGGCAAGTGAGGGCAGCAGCGCAGGCTAAATGCAACGCGCTCTGGGGAAATGCAGTCGCAAGCTGCTCTAATATGTTTGGCAGAGGTCCCCGAGCACTGCCAGCAGAGTTTCAGAGTTTTCATACAATGTGCGGCTGCAGTGCAAGTTATATATTTTTGTTTATAATATGATAAAGTTCCCCCTCTTTTTTCTGCATTCAAGCCTCTCATTTTAGTGAAACCAAGCTGGGGAGATGTTGGTGCAGCTCCAGCAAGACACTGATGCCAGTAGTTTAGTTTATTTTCACTAGCCACAGTGCTTCATGGTCTAATTCGGCACCAGTCATAACTCTCAAAAGTATGCTCTCGCCCCAAGTGACAGAAATGGTTTCTCAGATTATTGCTCATGATTTAAATGGGGCTTACAGGATTGGATGTGCCTTGCTTGTAAACTTCAAGCCATTCGTGAACTCTAAATGGAGATGAATTATTGTCCAAATGTTGTTGAATTGGAAATTTAACTGAGCACTAAAATCCGACAGAGTCGAGGGAAATGTGCCTCTGAAATCCATTTTGACAGTTCCGTTTGATTACCGTCAGATTTTATCACTACTAATGTACTTTTAGAAAGGCTTCAGCAGTTTTGTTGTTGACTTGTTGTAATTGTTGTGATTCGGCCTAAGTGGCTCTGAGTTCCGAGTGGCGGGAGCAGATCTTGCATGGCAAATTAACAAGAGTGCCTTAATCAAATACTGCAGTCGAAAAGCACATACGCACCCCATTAAGTCATTCTAATATGCCTCAGCCTCTCCTCATGTTTGCTATTTAATTGGCTTATTGGAGCCAGGATTCCAACTAATCCAGAAAGGGATACAATTACTTTTATCCTGGTCTTCTATTACCCAAAATAAAGACGTCAGTGGTTAATTACTGCAGGCCTATTAGAGATGCATTCTCCTAATTGCCTGATTGGAGACCGTTAACGACGGGATCTTACAATGGGCAGGAGTTTGATTCTGCTCATTAGGCTGTGTGCAGGCCACTAGAGAGGGGAGGGACTGGCATTGGAGGGGGGTCACAGCGGAAAGGGGAACAAAGACAGGGATGTTGAGGATTTGAAAGAGGAACCATAATGTGCAGCTTATCTGGATTGGAAACTACATTAGGATAACACTGGTAGAGGAAACTTTATTGAGAAATCTGTGAACTCACCATCATCAACCTTTTGGCTAAAAATAAAGTCTTCCTTATTTAATTATTCTATCTATAGTTTCATTTTGAGTACAGAGACTGCACTGAGTAGGTAACTGATTACTTTGGCAGCAATGCAACCTTGTGTTAAAAGTTTGCCATTAATGAAGAGACATTCAGCGTAAACGATCGCAGCTATTTCTGTCTGCTTGGTTATCGTGCTGAATCTGAGAGATCATAACACGTCATTATCCTCAACAGCTCAACTTTTTGACTTCATAAGCAACCTCTTCATCACCTTTTCCCAAAAGTTTGTTTGTGTGCAGAAGCCACGGGAAAGTTCCGATCCGCTCGTCTTTCTCTTTGTGTTTCTTGTTCATCAACATCATCACTGTCAGCGAGACGACAGACAGTTCGACAGACTGCTAGGGAGACATACTGGGGAAAAGTAGGTCATGATGAACCATCAGAGGTGCTGACAGCTCTGTGAAATGAGCAGCTACTTTGACATGAATACTAATCACTGTTGTTACCATCTGAAAAGCCTCCACTGAAACCATAACTCGACTTTCCTACTTGACTGCTTGAAACGCCAACGGCTAGGTCATCCACGGTGGAATCTGTCTCTCTGAACACTGTTCTTATGACTCATCTAATATCATTATGTAGCTGGGCTATTGTTTTTTATATTGTAATTTTTAAATATTCTGTCAAGAATAAGCCGACAAACACAATTTATTTGGTTGACCTCATTCCCTAGCTGACATTTGAAACCATTTCTTGCTTTTATTTGACAAATTCAGGTCTGGTCAGCAGAAAAGGTCAGGCCTGAGATCCTCTTATTTATCCGTTATTGTATTTGCCTACTTCCTCCACACCAGCAATTCATATTCATTTGAGGAACCTTAAAGGTCAGACTTAAAACCTACACCAAATGGCTTTACACAGCTGATATCTGTGTTTTCTCAGATTCAGCTGTTGAATTTAACCTTACCTCTCAATGTGCTTCAAAAAGGCATGTAGCTCTTGCTCAATGATACATCAGTAAGAAACTACTTTTATTGAACACATAATGAGCACTGTTTTCTACATTATGCAAACTTTAAACCATCTATATATAGTAGAAGGCTGACTTGACCCAGACATGATTTGAACACAGCCTCCTGGCCGTTGTACCCAGAAGTCTGAAGGGTTTTTTGGTTTAAACATCTGGCAAATAGTACCAGGATGATTTAGAAAACAGCATTATGCTATTTAGGTGTAGTGCACTACATTTTAAGGCTATTGAACAACATTTTGATGCATTCTGCAATCCATAATCATTCACTTCTCTCTGCTTATTCTGGTCCATAACCGGTCTTTAATCCGACCATAACTTGCAAGAGTGGCTTTACAGTCCACACGCACTCATCATAAACACTCAATTTTGGTTCATAGCATTGACGCTATATTTAGTTAGGGACATTTTTTCATTTATATTTCCTAAAAAACCTGAGTGAGACACACCCTGATGGCAAACCAATGAAAAATGTCAGAAAGGAAGTAAGTATGTTTGTATTAACTATAGGAGGTTCAGAACATGATGGAAAACCATAATTTGATCCCTGCGTAGTGGTTACTCATGTTACAGCAGCATGTAATGAAAAGGATCTTTCAGAAATGGTTTATAAGAGTCTGGCCTGTTGCTAAGAGTCTATGTCAAGGCACTTCGATAGTGTGGCTCAACATATTTAGGTTATTTTCTGGCTTTCATTAGAAGTTACTATAATGGGATTCAAAATATACATATAAGGAAAAAAAAGTTTAGTTATATTTCACCATTTTTATAACCACAGTATTGTATAGTATTGATTGGTTGGCTATTAGTGATGTGACTTTTTTAAATGAAAGCAAGAAAATTAAATGCTTACCTGGAGAAACAAACCTTATGTGTTGACACTCATATGGAGGTGCTGGAACACTTTACAAAACATAAACACATGCACATTATTTACTTCTCCCCATTCAGAGCGATAAACGTTCCACAAGGCTGTAAACCAGTGATATTTCTGTGGTAGCATAGCACAAAAGCATGAGCATGTAGGCTGACAGTCTTTCAGTTTTACTGCCAGGTTCATGCACCCTTGCTAGCAAAACTTGCCTAATGAAGTGTCCTTGAGCAAGACACTGAAGTGTCAAGGATGGATGTTATGTACGAAACCGTTGACCTCCGAATTGTATTTACCTTTTCCTAGGTCCAGAGGGTCTTGGGTTCAGCATCACTTCCAGAGACGTCCCCATTGGTGGCAGCGCTCCCATTTATGTTAAAAACATCCTTCCTCGAGGGGCCGCAATCCAAGATGGCAGATTAAAGGCTGGAGACCGGTTGCTGGAGGTGGGGCAGCACTTTCTAACTCTCTCACCATTATATTGGTTAGAGAATGTGTTCTGTGAGATTGTATGTTATTTCACAGACTAATTACTCTTTTGCAGATATGGTTTTGTTCCAAAATTCAATCTTGCAGAGCTTTTGTCGGAATGAGTCAAACATACTGTGTTCCCTATGGCTATAACAATTCAGCTACAGCCTTGAATTGCTGAGGAAAAGTGATTAGATGTAACAATATTTTGATTATACTTCAATCAGACTGACATGAAAATCAGCTAGTGCTCACTTTAGGGGGAAATAACCCATATTTAATTCCAGCTCCAACTGGCTCACAGGGTAATCTGCATAAAGGTTATGCAGAGGCCATAGATTCCCCCTCATTGAAGTCAGAGAGCTCTTTGATTCTAGTTTTACTGCGTGTGTATCTGTGTGTACATTTCTTTTTGCCTGTTATGTATGTGCTTGTCTGAGTATTTATGATTGTGTGTGCAGGTTAGTGGAGTGGACCTGAATGGAAAGAGCCAGGAAGAGGTGGTGGCCCTGCTCCGAGCCACGCCCATGGGTGGGACTGTGAACCTGTTGGTGATTCGCCAAGAGGACTCCCTGCTGCCCCGAGAAGTGGTCAGTGCCCCGCCAGCTCCTCACTGTATAACCTCCTGCTTTCCCACTTAGAAAATAAGACTTCACTTATAATAGTTGATTGCAACACCTATGAATACTTCCATTTCTTAACAAGTTGTATATTTAATACTAGAGGATAATTGTACCCTATTATCCTATTCTCACTTCTGGACCCCTTAAATAAAATTATATTGAGGAAAACTGGGATTTTCTCAGAACTCTGGTAGTTATAATATTATTATTAATATTATAGTTTACTGGGAATCAACCAAAGTCATATGATAGGAACATGGGAAAAGGTCACTAAATGTGCAACCATGCTCTCTGCACTGCAATATTTACATTGTTGTGTTAAGTCAATATTATTCATTAAGGGTCCCATATTTGACACTGTTCTGGTGTTTAATTTGAAGTTTTAATATCCAGAATATTTGTGGTTTTAAGGATCAAAAACCATCTCCTCATTCACGCTTCTCTCTGAGCGCTAGCAAGAACAAGGAGTCTGGTGTTGTGTTTCATTAATATTAATGAGCCTCTCATCTGATTTGTTGACAGTGTTTTCCGAATGACCATTGTTTTCGTATTTTCATTTTTCGTATCCTACCTGGCTGGTTATATAGCACCTAGACCTAGCTTATAATAAAAAAGTAGATGGATTTATGGCTAAAATGTCTGTGAAATACATGTCATACAAGTCAACAATCTAAATTTTAAGGGGATACTGAATTTGATACATTACAGAAGCAAATTTAGATCTGCCTGAAAGCTGCAGTGGTGTCCATATGCACCTAAATTTTCACCAGCCACCCCCAGTAACCCCAACAGAATGAGAGTCGGGAAGCACATTAACATACAGTTCCCAAAGTGTTAGGGTAGACAGGTTTAGGTACACAGCTAACCCCGGACACACAAATACACACTGATGAATAAACACACAGTTAACTACATGGAATGGGTACAAAGAGACACAGATACAGCTATGGGCATAAGCACACACACACACACACACACAAGGATGCACAATCACAGCTTTTAAGAGACACACAGACACACCCGTACACGCATACACAGACACCCTCAAGTGATATGTGCGAGCAAGCACAAATAGAACTTTGGACATATTCCCACACACACTCGCACACATGAACATTCAGTCACACAGCCTACATGCAGGGTGACTTTGGCTGTCGTGCAACAGATGGTGAGGCTACTGCCCTCGTCCAGCCTGCGCTCAGTCGCTCTGACAGCAGGCTCGGGTGTCACAGCACCCTGGCAGTCCAGGGGCCCCTGGTGCCAACCACACTCCTACCCTTAATACACAGCCTGGCACCCGGGCTGTTAACCCCGCCATAGGAGCTGTTCAACCTGTAGAGTAATGGCCCCTCTGAGACACATTTTACTCTGCTAATGTGCTGTTTCTCCTGTTAGAAACGCACCACCCCCAGACTTAGCTCCACTTTAATCGGTCTACAGCTTTACTTTCATTTTAACATTCACATAGTGGCACGTGGGCTCGTATTTTATTCCTGCTTGTATTAAAGGACTTTTTAAGATTTAAATTATACAATCTTAAAACATGCCATTGGTGTTAAAAGGATAAAGACAACATAATGTGATTGCACATGATCTTATAGACCTTTTTCCCAGCAGCCCTTTTGACATGAAATAGTAGGGTAAACACAGGTGTTACCAATTATATTAATTAAGGTTCTGATCCATTCAGGTCAAACAGAGTCAGAGTGACTCTATTGTGCATCTGGAAAGGCTCTGCTACACTAAATGGAACAGAACCTTAATTAGTATCATTGGTAACACCTGTTTTTACCCTACTATTTCATGTCAAAATTGCTGTTTGGAAAAAGGTCTATTGGCAGCTGCGGCGTCAAACTCGAAGGCTGTTCAACCACTACAGCCAACACTTAGACTCTAACTGGAGGCATGTAGTAAACTGATTCATACCTGTTCTCAGCAGCCATGACAGCAGCTGAATGATGCTGCGAGGAGTGTTAAAAAATGCACGGCTGCCCCTGGGCTGTCAACTCATGAGCGGTGTGGCATGAGAGTTTGATGGCTACGCTTTCTTAGCTCCTCAAGCATGACGCGATGAGAAAAAGCCCATCATGGAAACACTGTCTTATAATCTCTCCTTGTTTTTGTTTTTTTTCTCTGTCTTTGGACCAACTTCTACATGCTGTGAGAGACTACTAGTTAATATTTCATCGCTTTACACGTCAGATTAGCAATTTGCTACTCTCTCCCTCACTGTTCTCTTTTCCTCGTTCCCTCACACACTTTCACATTTCCCAGCAGTGCTTTCACAAATCTCAATAATCCTTACAAGTATGTTCATAAAAATCAGATAAAGAGGCCAAGGCTCTGCCGATGACAGTTATTGCAAATAAAGCACGGAGGCAAAGCACGGTTGGTAATTGCCTCTACTGTCACACGCTCTGGATGGGTGAGTGAGCGTGTGTGCATGCATATATACTAACTACACACGTTGCCAGGACACACATAAACACATACAGTATGGACAAGCGTTTACGTGCTGTCATTCACATAATTCCCTCAATGACAACGCAATGATGTTTTAAATTGTAGCGTGAGTGACATGCCAGAAAACCACAGGCATCTGTCAAAGAAGTATAGTCTTAAACACACACACACACACACACACACAGCGGCGGGACACAGATGAAAATAGAAAAAGAGACGTTTTTTTTGTCTAGTTGACATTTGCCTGCTGATGTTTAATGTCAGCGGCGAAAACCCCTCCACGTCTCCTTTTGTTTCGATGTCTTATTGTATGCCAGGCGTACTGCACGCGGCCCCCGGAGGGATTCATTTACCCTCCCAGCGTGTTTGTGTTGCGTCTTTAATTACCACGGTCAGGGGGTATTTTGACATGCTTTCAGTAGCAATAGCACTCGCTCTCGATAACTTTCAATAAATATGTACTCGCTGGGAAGCGAAAAGGTTAACTGGCAATAGAGTAGAGTGGGGCGTTGCCTCTGTGATTTCCCCGTGTCTTTGTCTGTCTGGTTACCTCTCCCTTTTTATTTCAAGGGTATCAATAGACATTTTCAGACAGATACATTATGTTGTATCAGAGAAGTAGAGCAGCTTTAACCTTTACCAAACATTGAACTCATCACTAATAAGCCTGCCCTTTCATTTTTCCTCTCTTAAACCTTCACCATCCATAATAATACAGTATTTTAGAATTATAGGTTATATTTTGCCTCTCTGGTTCTCTGTTGTGTTGTACATGTTTGGTTGTATGGGATTAACCCTTTGACCTTCAGGTTATAAGACATGTTCATTAAAATGTGAGGGGAGAGATGAGCAGAGACATACAGAGAGAGTCTCTAAAAGCTCAACTTGAACCCTTAAGACCCACAGTAGGATGCACAGATCAATGGCTCTGTGAACAAAGTCACTGTATGCTGTGCTGTTCTTTCACTTGACAGCTCTGGGAGTTTGAATCAGGGAATTAAACAAACTAAAGGGAGGAAATCAGAAATATTTCTGCCCCCTACGGGTTCGGAGGTTATTGCATGACTTTTATCATCAGAGGGGGCTGTTATGAGGAGGTACAAAGACTTGTGTGAGACATTGTTGGAATCCCAGAATATGCATGCATATGAATAGTGACTCAGTGCTCTGTGGTCTTTATATAACTTGATGGATGATTTCTGAGAGCTTGTGTCTTCTGAAAGTAAATGGAAAATGAGTTCATCTGACATAAAGACAGAAGAAGGAATGCCGTAACCCGAATGGAGGGTTTGGGTTAGGTACTTTCAGTTGAGGCCAGTTGGGAGAAGAGCAAAAACATCTTTTCCATCAAGGAAAGTTCAAGGTTCTTTCAATGAAGAAATACTCTCCAGTTCTGATGTAACTAATGCTAGCAGCATCCATGCTAATATCTTTAGCTGCCACCATTGTCATCTTCTCACACACCTAGTGTTAAACTCATGCCAGAGGTGCCAGAAGTTCCTCAAAGGATGCTGATTGGTCTAAATCACTTTGGTTCAAGCACAAGTGCATAGCTTGAAGCCGTGCAACATGGATTCTCACGTGATATCACAGCTCCAGCAGGTTAATTCAAAGCAAATGGTGCCCCCTTAGTCTGACAGCAACCACCATCCACCATCCTTTCCCCTCTCCCTTCACATTATTCATGGCCTCCAATGCAATTACCTGCCTGGTAACACTGACCACAGCGAGACTTGACAGTAAAGTTGTATTACAAAACAACCCCAGACACACGTACACACCACTGAAATTCCCACACACAAGCCAGAATGGCACACTTAAGCGCATTTAAACACACACATATACACTACACACTTCCCACGCATAGCCAGTGGATGTTATTTATTGTTGGCATTTATCTCCCAGCGTGCAGCACTGTTTGTGTTTACAGCTGCGAGCGACACTGAGCCTTCAGTCCACATCGCCCAGCTTTGTGGAGTGGAGATTGTGTTTCCAGCTCCCTTTTCTCCTGTAATAACCAAGTCAAATGTCATGCTTCACTGTGCAATAAGCAATGGCAACAGTCAAGGAACTATTTCTGCCTCCTCTTACAGATGTCCATCCACACTCTCCTGCCAATGATGCAACTGGAACTTGAATGATGGAATTACCCTGTTGTGGTGCTATTTAGTTTAGGGCAGATACGACAAACCTAAGGCAGATAAATATAACCTGTGGCTACCAGTTTATTACATGAAGAATGACTTAGGAAATGTAGTGCAGGCCTGCCGATGACAAATCATTTTAATTCATTCTAAAGCCCTTGCTACAGTGTAAGTAAATTAGCCTGCTGGTCTTGCTGCTGTGTCAGCACGACTGCTGTGATCTCAACTCCTTGTCTTACACATATGCATACACTCAGTCGTGCCCTCAACATTTTTTAACAACACCACAAATACTAAGCCACTCCATGTAAAACCTGACATGCAATATGGGCTTGATTTGTCGCATATGCTCAAGTGCCA